CTTATCTAATACCTTAGTGAGTCATAATTCAAATAAACACTATATTTAAAGTTTTATTCAAAATTATGTCGACAAAAAACAAATTTGTTTTTCTTTAGTCAACTTTTGTTTGCCTCAGCATATCCAAGCTATAACTAAAAATATTATTTCAAACGCTAAAATCAACTAGAACGTTTAAGGTGATATTAACAATGTCATCTGCTATTGTTTAATAAATATAGTGAAGCTACGTTTATCTTCAGTACCGTTCCTCGTGTCAAAGAGTGTTTAAAAGGATCGCGAAATATTTTTTTGAACTTCTGAGCTAGATATTTATTTAGAATGCTCGTTCTTCATCGCGTAACCCACGTCCATTTGTTTCATCGCCCGGATTCGTTTACAAGTGTAAAAAAAGTTTTAGGTTTCCCACAAAACTTCTTTATCGGTTCCACGAATAGGTCATAATCCGGTACCGGTAACGAATCTTCGTTTTTTGTGCAAGATGGCGATATAAACCGGACTCTACGAGCGAGGCAAGTGCGTCAGATATCGCTCCAACAGCAGCGCCATAATGTCTTCACGCACGCAAGTGAACGGGTGACATCTGACGTCAACAATTATCCTTATATAATTGTAAGATGGTCGACCTCATTGACCTCAAGCCGCTCTACCGTCATCCAATGCAACACAATGGGCTTTTAGGGTCCCAGCCGTGCGCTGCCCCTTTATGTCGTTTGTGCTAGCGTATGTGGTGCTACAAGAGAACCTTTGTGAGGGAAGTGTTTGTAAATTGGATCGGTCAAGGGGCGTCCCGTTGTGATCGTCAAAGAACAGGCTGAACATATCTTCTCGCTTTGACCGGAAAAATGCCAATCCGCTGGCAGAAAAGAGACCAAAACGCTAGAAGTATAAGAGAAACAAATCGTGTTTGCATACTCGATTATCGGGATGTCACGTTACTACCGAGGAAGACAGTGGTAAAGGAAAATCGATGAAAGACTTACGAACACCGGTCGTGTAAAATACCGAGATATTTGCGTCCTATGGGGTGGGTGTGGTTGACCTGCAAAAACAAACGGCTCGAAAACGAGCGTGCTGATATCCGAGAGGTCACGCACGCCTCCCTCCTTTCTACTGATTTCGCCAAGTTCCGGTTTCAAATCCTATTGGGGTTATGCTTCGAGAAACCCAGGGGCAGGTGAAGGCGAGTGCGCGCGGTGACGTTAAAACCCCAAGCTCCGGTTTGAATGAATGGTGGGTAGAACTAAAGCTGGCTGCCCTTGTGTCCACGCCACTCGTCGAACGCTTTAGAACGCGGAAGACCGGCGTCTAGCGTCTGGCTTTCGCATTCAAGCGCGTTCGACGAGTGCAGTGGAGACAAGGTTGCCAGCTCTAGGTCAACCCGCTAATGCCTCCAATCAGAGCTCGGGGTTCTCACGTCCCCTCTTGTTTCCTCCTCTCTCTAATTATTGGCGCATAACCATAAAATAAATTATATGAATAGGACTTGATCTATGGTTGCTCTGTAGAGAAATTCAGATGCGCGACAATCGATGTCCGATTTCGAGGCAGTGGGGAGCCCGAGACGAACAATTGGGAATCTTGAGGTCCATCTAGCGTCGGTATCTTGTGCACGCAGTGAAAACTCGATTGATCGATGAAATAGTTCCACAAGTCTATTGAATATGGGGTGATGTGAGGCTGTACGAAGTCTTGAAGAGTCCGGTATAGCCATAAGTTATAGGAATAGAGCAGACTCAAAATAACGACTAGGATCTTTAATAAGGCATTTAGGTACGCCAAATAGGGATATCGAACCCTTCATGAGAACTTGGGCGACTTCTGTCTCTGCACGAATATCCTCGATCGGGATTGCTTCGACCCAACGCCAAGTCTGTTAATGCAGGGAGGCAAGTAGTCACAACCGTGTGATGTTGCTGATGGCCGGATGAAATCCAGGTGGGTGCGATGAAGTCGGAGATCAGGTGTGATACAGGAGGAAAAGGCGAAGGTGTATGTTGAGCGACCTTGGAGCATTGGTCCTGGAGGCAAGCACGTGGTTCCTCCCTGACGTCGCATACTTGACCCGATAAATCTATGAGGTATTAGTCGTTGTGTTTCGCATATCCTGTCCGTTGTACAGCTAGTAAACAAATAATCGATTGCAAGTTACGGAGGACAATCCCTGACGCTCAACATAGGGCTCCACAGAACATTTCTATAAATCTTTCTAGTTGCGGTTGTTTGATGCCCCATCGCGACAGCGGATATTCTTCGACGCCTCAAATTTCTCGTCATAATCACAGCAAATGTCATTAGGAGTAGAATGTTACTTCGGGACGAATATCGTCGGAGAAAAACAAGCAGAAGCCTGAGCTCGTGTGTTTTGTTTTGCACTATAATATCTGTCTTGAAAGAAACACTAAAGCGATTTTCCTCGCTTCGTTCTCAAAACTCAATATATGAAATTCAAGCGTCCTAAAAAACACGGAAATTGCGGCTATGTATCGCCTATTCGAATAGTGAAAAAGTGATAAAACAACAGCGACACTCAACGCTGTCACAAAACGATAGACGGCGCTACCGAACATTGCGGAATGTGGTCGAACCGCGGTCGGCACTTGCCAGCCACTCTCAAGGGATGGGTTCCCCGCGTAAACGAGAGAGAGTGGGCGGCCGCTCGTCCACGCTGGAGCCCATACCTCGCGAGTGGCTGACAAGTGCCGTCCGTCCTTCGACAACAATCATCAAGGTTCTGTGGTGACATCTGTCGTCCTGCGACAACGGTAAGTGTCGCAATCTTTGATGCCTTTTTAATATGAAAATCGGCGGGGTATGAGTGTAATGTCCAAATTTTAAGGATGCTTAGCGCTCGTAGATTTATTGACGATAATAAAACGAGGATGTCAGAATGCACGTTGGTGCCCCTTTAAGCACGCTAGAAGTTCTTTTTAAATATATGAGCGAACCAGTCATCTGCATCTGCAGCAAATAACGTTAAAAAAGTTTCTATAGCAATTGTGGGCTCCTTAAAGCCTCGAACGGTGAACTTCACGAAGTATCTGGCAAACAACCAACAAATGTCGCCCGGCTGCAATTTGGCTGCGTGTCCGGTGCGACAGCAGTTAATCTGACAACACGCGCTAAATGAACGCCGCGGGTCAAAATCTGCGGCTTCCGTTCGGAGCTTATTCGCTGTACGCAGATCGGTCGGATCGCTTCGTTTACACTTGCATCTTAGGACGCAAATAGCGATCTAGAATACAAGAGGAGTGTTTCGCAGCTTTCGCCTTATTTGGTCATTTGACTTTAAAGCACGGCGTTATTTTGTTTATAAGGAATATTGCACGCGCTTTACTCCTCTCTAAAATGAGTTAACTGCGTCTGTCCCATTTTAGAGCGCAGCTCTTAGGCGCCCGTTGCCGTGTTTGTTGAGCGGCGTCACCAGCAGCGTCGGCGTCGCCGTCCCAGAATGCAACGCGCGCGGTTACGCCGTCGGCGTCGCCGTCGTCGTCGCCTTCGGCGTAACCGCGCTGGTTGCATGATAGAACCCTGCGCTAGATTTAGCGGAAAACTTTCCTCGCTAAATTTAGCGGAAAAACCTACCCCGGCAAATTTATCGGAAAAATGTTCCCGCTATATTTAGCGGGAAACTTAACCCACTTTATTTAACTGGAACATTTTCGGTGAATTTCCTGCCAAATTGAGCGGGAAATTTAGCGAAAAGTTTTCGTTAAATGGGAGTTGAGCAGAAGGGGAGGAGGGAAGGGTACGGATGTGGAGGAGAGGCATACGCTCCCATCCGTACCCTCCCCTCCTCCTCAAGAGCTGCGTTCTAATTTTGAGTGATATTATTGCTGGATTTGTTTTTTATCAGCTCCGGCAATTTACCTTCGAGACTCACGTCGAGACATTTAATCACGTGTTGTTGTTCTACTGTGTGCTGCTCTTCTATTCTGTGTATTGCGAGAGACTCTGTAAACTCTTTCCTATTATGTTCCCATGACGAACTGATCGTATTTTGGAGCGTTCAGAAACATAAACTCGGTGAGCTAGTCAGCATCGAGCCAGCTGATATCCATCGATAGTTACTTACAGGTATGGGAACGGCAGGGCGTGTCTCTCGAACGTCCGGCTTCCAGGACGTGCTTCTTGTCTTCCCCTGTGCTTTGGCTTCGAGCTCGAGGGCCATGAGACGCCGATGCGTTGTCGTAGACAGGAAGCTCGCGTTAGAGTCAGGACAACTAAAGCTCCTCCCTACCCTTTTCAACTTGTCAGTGACTCTAGAAACCGAAAATAAAAGCTTGTTCCTGAAAATAAAATCTACTAAAAAAATGCACACCTGCGACCCCTTAGCTATGATACCACCCGAAAGAAAACAAATATCAAGTAAAATGTTGGCAGGGAGGCCAATATGTAGCAGGTTTATCAGCAGACTCAACAATTTTAAGTGGTCCAAGAATAATCTGGGTTGTCTTATACAAACATCATATTGTCGAAACACACCGTATTTTCGGTGCTGTGCGCCGTGAATTGAAATATAGCTAATTAGAAAATTATGAAAGGCGGTAAGAAGAGTACAATGCCATTTATGTGCCTTCGCACTGAGAAAGTATGATAGACAAACGTTGGCCAAACTTAGAATTGTTTTGTGCTTGCGATTATAATGAACAAAAGCATTTTATGCATCATGCGATTTCTTTCTCTAACGAAATACCCAGCATATTATTTCAATATCTCGATTATGGCAATGGAGATCTAACTGGAAGTGTTTCAGGAAACCTGAAATATCAGATTGCAGAGAAAGGAATAAAATTAAAAAAAAGTATGATATCCAGATATAATCCAGAGAGATTTCCAGTTCCATAATCCAGATAGCGAAAAGTTATACTGGGTTTTTCCGTAGGGTCATCATGTATTATGGGATATGGGTCTTATGGGCACATATGTTCGTTTTCAATATGGTATGTTTGACCTGAAAGAGAGTCCTCACACAGCGTCTCTGCATTTTTTCGTTCTAGGTCAAGACCCTCAAGATGACAGTGGTAGTGTTTGGCGCATTCCTCGTCACCAACGTGCCATACATGGTCCAAGAAATGATCCTGGCTTTTGGGAACCCGGGAATCCTGGACCACAACGTGGTGGCGCTATTCGGCGTCATCTCCGCCTCCAACAGCGCTATCAATCCGTACATCTATCTTTTCTTCCAGCGATCGAAGCGACAGTGTGGAGGATTCTGCAGTGCCCTACTCAAAGACGCCAAGACCTGGTTTTCATGTCGTCGTCTCAGCAACCTCTGCAATTCGCGGTCGCCGAGCTCTCCTACCACGATGACGTCACTGAACCATAATGGAAACTACGCTATGACCAGCTTGAACACAGGAACGCAGGTTGAAATCCGGAGTCCAAACAAATTTGATGTGTGATCTCTTCTGCTGGGAATATTTGAATAAATGTAAAGTCTCGGAGTTTTCGGTTTAAGTTTTAATGATAAAACCCTTCCGCTAAGGGTTACAGACGATGAGGTTGCCGACACCTTTGATATATTTATTACAAAATTTACTTTTCGGCTGGGTTGTTGCTGCAATGTGGGGACCACCACGTCCCCTAGTTGGTCACATATCACAAAACTCAATAAAGCGCAAAGAACAAGTAGTAGGACAAGGAAAAATGGTAGACGCTACGCTCAAGTTGCGTCTTAATGCATTAGTAGTGTAAGACAAGGTCAAAGTGAAAAATGCGATAAATAAACAGATAGATTTATATAATTATCACTTAAAACGAAGTGTGAAAGAATATTGTTTTCGAAAATTATATATATTAAAAATAACATGAATTAGTCAAGAACCTTTTAATAATTAATCAATAAACATTCTTCTATAAAAATTCTAGTATTATAAAAGTGATTAAAGCATCATCTTCTGTTGAATTTATAAGATTTACAAACAATTCGTACTTCAAACATTCTATCAAATTAATAATTATACACGATGTTGCGACAGGGTAAGCGCGTCTATAATAATAGTGACACTACTAATACTAAAAACTAATAATTATAATAACAATATTATTCTTTACTTTATGTGTTCCAAAACAACCACGCAGGTCTTCACATTGGTGCACACGAGATGATGAAAAGAAGAAAAACATCACGCGCGCAGCATCAAATGTACAGATTAACTTGGCTACAAATAGTGGGCACACTTCACAGAAAATGTTGTGCAGTTTCAACTCTCAACAAGACTCCAAGTCCCGGCGAAAAAAACTGAGGAATCCGTGAAAATGTCCAGGCTACAGAAATCGATTCTCTTTAATAAAATTTGCATACAGGACGGTACAGTGGTGAGACTTCAGACAAGGATTCAAAGTTAATGACAGTAAAATGTCTGATAACGCGACAAGGAACATGAAAATCGATAGAATTCAGAAGTAGGTTAGCATCAATCCTAAAATTTACCACCTAGCTAAAAAAAAAATTCACGCTCGAATCTGGTATGCGACAAAGACCTTAGTAAAACACTAGTAAGAAATTATGCATCCTCATAATAAAAGCGACGCTGAAAGTGCATGTCATATTCCTTGTCGGAATGGGCGGCAGCAGGGACGTGTGCGGTAGCTGCTCCGCTCCAATTTACGGGCGGCAGCAGTTTCTTCCTTGTGCTGGGCAATGTAAACGTCGGATTCACTGCAAATGCATCAATGTGTAAGGAAGACTACGAGTACCTCATGGCAGACGGCAAGAGCAGTTACAAGTACCCATCTTGTGCAAAGCGTCTGGACGAGTCGGGCAACAAGGTCAGTGACGATTCAGCGGCCACTCTACTCGAGGAGACAGATTTGAGTCCAGTTAACGTTACTCCTGGAACGGACACTAACCTTCTCGAGCTGGTGGTCTTGCTTTGCAAGAAAATCGACGACCTTACGAAGGCTGTCAAAACTTTGAAGACAAACAACGAGTCGCTGCGCATCCATCTGTCGCGCAACAGTGAATTGCTGCGTAAATCATGCTTGCCGGAGGGACAGCCGGTCGCACCAGCCGTGCCACCGAAACACTACGCTGCTATTTTGAAGACGCCAGTGCCCTTCGTGAGCCATCATGTCAACTTTGCAGTGAACGACGACAAAAGCGGGGCAACTGAACGACCCCCCTTCCATGGAAACCCATGACGTGGCTGCTAACTCGCAACACACTCGAGCAGGTCTTGTTGATGACGAGGGATTCACCACGGTTACAAGAAAGAAAAGGCCTCAACCTACCGAGGGCGTGAGTACTACTTGCAAGCTGGCCTCCGTACCACGACCACCACGGCGTCGTGCGCTCTTTGTCTCTAGACTGGCACCAAGTACAACGGTTGCGGGCATTTCCGAAGTTGTAGCCACTGCTTTGAAAGGAAATACTGCCTTGTGTACTAAGCTTGTGTCTAGGGATGAGAGCTACGCTTCTGTCAATGTATCTGTTGATATTAACGATTTTGAAATACTCAACCGAGCAGAAATTTGGCCAACAGGATGCATTTTCCGACCCTTTTTCGGAAAGTTAAGAAATATGCCAGGTGATTCCGCGGCCGCCGGTGATAACTAAGACAATGGAATGCACGGTTTATTGCCAAAACGTACGTGGTATCAGAACCAAGTCTTCTGAGCTTATGTCTGGAATTGTAGGAAGTTCAACAGAATGTTAAGTTGGGCTAGTTGGTTCTTCATGACTGGAAGGAAGCGCCGAAAGACGGGGACAAAAGAAGTAGGTAACTCGGAAATGAAGGCCGTTTTAGGATTTTCCGATACGTGGATGATTACCTGGTTATTGTCCTCCAACCAAAAGAGTGCATTGGCAACGATGTAGCAGAATTGTTGGGTGTCTTTGCGGCCTGCTCCCATGGTTTGAAGTTTACCTATGCGAGAACATCGGGGGGGGGGGGGGGGGGGGGGCGGGGGGCATCTACAGTTTCTAGATCTTAAGCTCACGTTTCTTCAAGATCACACATGTTGGGCCTATGAGCCCGGTCTAAGAAAAACGTGCTACGGTACGACTCTGCCCATTCTAAACTTATAAAAAAAGGTATCGCCGCGTCCTGCCTTGAAGCAGCGTTGAAGAAGTCGTGTGAACATGAAATGGGCAGTAGTTTTCTGTTGCAGGTTGATCGCCTATTAGCTGCGGGTTTCCCGGGAAAAACACTCGCTGATGTAGCAGATGGATTGAAGAGAAAGTTTAGAGGCCTTCCACAAAAAGCACATGAACGACCAAAAGGTAGACCAGCAATCATACCCTACCTTCATGCCGTATCCCACAACTTGAAAAAAGTTGCGGGGCGCTTCAACGTTCCGGTGGTTTTCACGGCCCCTAGCAAACTTTCGTCTTTGTGCAAGCGAATTAACTACCCACACAGGGACAGGGAAGAATGCACAAAAAACACGGAAATAAGTTTTTGGAATGTTCATCCTGTGTCGTTTACGACATTCCATTATCATGTGGGCGTTCCTACGTAGGACAAACTGGCCGCTGCGTCAATGAACGTGCAAGAGAACATGCGTCAGCTGTCAAACAGACGCCGTCAGGGCATCTGGCAGTACATTGCGCTGGATGCCCGTGCACACCATTGTTTACTAACACCGCCATCCCGGGACGACACAGCAATAAAACCACAAGGGAAGTACACGAAGCATTCATTATCAAAACAGTGGGCGTTGATAACTGCGTCAGCGAGCCGTCTGTGGCATTGTTAGATAAGAAGATTCTATTTTTAGAGAGAGAGTGGGGTGGCAGGAAATTAAGTGGTTTTTATAGTATTTAAGTCTTTGTATTTTTCAATAAACTTCCAGTGGCGAGTGCGCCACGTGTCGTCGTTACCTACTTCTTTTGTCCCCGTCTTTCGGCGCTTCCTTCCAGTCGTGTAGGAAATTCCTTTACCGTGTTATGCCTTACGGAGACGTGGCTGGACGAAGGTATTTCTAGCACCGATTATTTCCCCCATGTTATTCCGTTTTTCGCCGAGATCGAAATTACGCAAGCACGGGGCAAAAATATGGCGGCGGTGTACTTACTGCCGTGAATACTTCTATGCGAGCATGGAGAAGGCAAGCTCTAGAGTCTTACTCGGAGTGCGTTTGGGTAGAGCTTGCAACGAATGATGGCGTCAACTTTTTAATCGGAAACTATTATTTTCCACCCCAGTTTAGCTCTGATAATTTTGTGGCAGAGCTGAGAGCCCTAGAGCAAACTTCAGATGTGTCAGTTTCGCATTCACATTTATGGAGACTTTAACATTCCGGGGATAGACTGGGTGACAGATGTCACAACGGATGGGAACGATCGCAAATCGAAGGCGTCAAGCCTAATGGATTTTATGTATATAAATGGCTTTGAACAGTGCAATAAGCTACAGAACTCAGCGGGCAACATACTTGACCTTGCACTAGTGTCTTCGCCAATTAATAGTATCAGTTCAGTTGACGATCCTATAACACGTGTCGATCATTTCCATCCTCCTTTTGTTGTTTCATTTTTTTCCCGCCCGGTCAACAGGTTTTTTTACAACCAGACTTGCTTTTTATACAGCGAAGGAGATTATCTTAACATGTACTATTATCTTCAAAGTTACAACTGGGATCCTATCTTGAAAGACACGTGCGTTGACTCCACAACAGAGGCATTTACAAAAATTGTGTCGAGTGCCATGGATACCTTTATACCGAAGCGCGCTTCACGGTCATACAAATACCCTTCATAGTTTTCATGGGAACTAAAATGCTGCTTACGCAAACAATTGCACTATCACCGGACTTTTAAAAAAACGGGATTAGAAAAATGGTACTTGAAGTACAGCGAGTGTCGCTCTGTTGCAAAGCGGTTGTTTAAGAGATATGAGAAATTTCACGTTTCTCAGACTGAGTCTTTTCTGAATTCAAGTCCAAAAGACTTGGAAATTCGTACCCACTCAAAAAAACAAGCGTAGTAGTAGTGTTCCTCTCTTACGGGGTAGTTCCGGCTATATATCGAATCCAAATGAAGTGGCAGTCATGTTTGCTCAGCATTTTATGTCGTGCTTCTCTTCTGGAACTAACACAAAATCAGCTGTGAAATGCCCGAATACCTCTGATTTTTTTCCGTTTGTTCCAAAGGATGAGCTTGAGATAAGTACATGCATAAGGGACATGAAGTCGAAGTTATCTGCTGGCGCAGACGGAATACCGAGCTTTACTTTAAAGGGATGTGCTCATCTTTTAACTCCGGTGTTGCTTCATATCTTTAACCTGTCGCTACTATCGGGCAGATTCCCGTCTATATGGAAGCACTCTGTCATAGTTCCGATATTTAAATCAGGCGATAACACAATTGTGAGCAACTATCGCCCTGTCTCTTTATTATCTAGTTTCTCTAAAGTTTTAGAGATGAGGCTGCATAATCGTTTTTACAAATACTTCCGTC